ATCCGCCAGCACTCAACTCCGCCCTGATGCTCTCACCAGCCGCGACGTTCTCATCTGCATCGAGTGTACAGTATATGATCCGCGGGCTTCTACACCTCAGCATGTAGAGAAAGTCCTTGTTTCCCTCAACCATAAAAAAAAAAGCCCCTTCGATCATCCCTCTTAAAATGCATTTGCTTCACAGCATGCTGAGGCCAAGGAAGGCTAGTGCAAGGCCGACAACGCCGGGCGCAACAGCAGAGGCAGAGCCTTCGATGGCGGTCACAATCTGTCCCCACTGCTCCTCTCTGCAGTACATACGCCGAGAAACAAAAACAAACTCAAGTGGAGACAGAACACAGGAAGAAGAAGGAGGCATAATGCATGAAAAACTTACGTGAAGGGGGCCTTCTCTTCGTCTAGTGCATCGGGGACGGTCATGCAAATCAAGGCTGAGGCTTTTGTTTCTGTGCTTTGTCCCTGGTCTCCTGACTGTGCTGCCCTTTCCGCTACAGGCGTTTTTTTTGTGCATGTGACGACGCGACAGTCTGCAGTAGCGTCCTTTGAAGGGTTGTACAGGGCTATGAATGACAGGTTCTCCTGATTTTTGTACAGATTCTCTTCGTTCTTGTTGGCCGGAGGCAACCCATCAAAGTTGCTGTAGGCGCCCTTCCACTTGTCCACAACGGCATTGCAGTCGACGGAAGCCGGGTCGTCAATCGGAAGGTATGCGTATGTGCCGGTCTGGAACTTTGCTGCTACCTCAACCCGTGAAGCTTTTTCTTCTCCTGCATCCTAGAAACAAGAGAATTGGCAGGCGCTAAAGTGATTTGCACAACCGAATAGCTCCTACGGAGGGCAGCTAGAAAGGTAAATACTTACTGGAATCAAGTGTTTACAGACAGGCATCCATGCCCATCCATCGTCTGGTTCGCTTGGAGTAGTGGCTGTATCAGGCAGTCTGGCTTCGGTTTTCCCCGTTTGTGCTTGAACGAGTTCGCTGAGCCCAGCGGCCACACGAGCACCATTGACCTCGGCGAGACATTGGCCGTCGTCTCCTGCGGAAAAGTAAGCGGTGAACATTGGTTTGCAAGACAAGCGTGTTATACTGAAACTATTCAATGCCAGTCGGACACTCCCAGTTCGTTTGTGGGGTTTTGACCCGTTGGACACAAAGGGGCTTGGGCGGCTGGGAACGTAGTTGAACCAACCAGTTGCACATGAAAATGCGAAACATACCAAAAGCTACTTTGTAGGTTGGCTGTTCTCCTCCACTGCCACCGGCTTTGCCCAGGACGAAGAACGAGGCAGTGACGACTGTGAGCAGATTGAGAGGCGCCATTGTCACCGAGTAGCCGTCGAGTCAGCTAAGGAGGCGTAGACACAATCTACTAAATCATCAAAATATATGAACAATACTCAAATTGCAGATGACCGACGACGTTATCCTTAGCTTCAGCTGCCTTGAGGTGGCCGGTGCCGGGGGTGCGCGTGAACGGACGGCGGGTCGGCCAGGCCACTGCCCCTTCGCTGCCCAGTGTCTCACGGTAACTCTATGAAGTAAATAATCTCTAAGGCCCGTTTATAGTATTTCTGCTGTGCAAAAACGAGCCAGAAGAGGTAAGGGGGCATCAAAGCTGGGACGGCAACCTGCAGAATCGCGCGAATGACTGTGTCTTGCACTCACCGACGTCGAGTCGCAGGGTCAGCGCAAAGGAAACCCACGTCGATTTCTCACTCAAAACCAGCTTCTACCCTATCTAAAAGGTTACAATGCTTCTCAAATCCTTGTCCTGTGAACTGTCCACTGAGTTGGGGCAGCACTCCTGGCTCCAGGCGTGGATCCGCCGAGTCTCTTTCGGTATCAGTGTGCAGTCAACGTCGCACTCTATAGAAGGTGTGATTTCTAGGATTAAGCACGATTGCATAGCTGAGTATGACTGATTGCTGCACATTACGCACAAACCAGAATCGCGCAACCATCTCTTGGCTGCCTTGGTGGCGGACCACATGCGAAGAAGCGATGGTATTTTACCCTTTCACATTATTAAACTTCTTAGAGTCTCATTTTCTATCTATACGCACTGGAGGGGTCACCAAAGGCTTCTCTATGCAGACGGTTTGGCTCAACTGGTCTAAGCAATTTCGAGGCTTTTGAACAGTTTCTCAAATTCCTTGTGGGCAACCAAAGTTCTGAGGACTGCTGTTGAAATCTTTCACGGATTAGTGTCTACTTTGCTGCTCATGCACAGATGTCGGGTACTAATACTGCACAGAATGTTAGGCCTTCGAGAGGCAATTGTTCAAAATGAATTCTTCGCTACCGGGAGGCCTAGTCTGTCACGTCTTCGCGAAACTAAAAGTAAGCTTGAAGCTTGCGTATAGAAAAGGAAGCGCTGTGCCGTACGCATATATGGGGTTACACGGCTTCAAGGAATCATTTTGTTGAACGACTTGAGCTGCGCTCTAGCGGGGGATCTGCGTCGCAAGGAAATACTTGTGTCCCTTCTCGTCCAGTAATGGGGCATCGGCAATCGGCAGGAAAAAGTGAACAAACAATTAGCAAAAACGAGTCACAAAGCTTCCTTCACAAGAGATAGGGATTCCTCGCATTGCGTTTTGTCGCCCAAAGTGTGTCTCTTTCCATTGTCGATAGCTACTGACTGCCGGAGACAAGGTTGAACCTTCTTCTCCTGCTGTACGCATTGCCCGGAATCTTTAGTAGGACATTGCCTCGATTGTCTGCATCAAATAGACTGTATGCGTGTATTTGCCTTATTTCGTCGCTTCCTGCGTGCACAGGGGAAGCAGAGTCATGGGGAGCAGCCAACAGTAGCATTCACTAGTGCAAGAACGAGCCGCAATGATGGACGCAGGTAAAGCGGCACAAGGGCCTGCTGCTGCTTAGCATGCCCCATGACGGCTAGTGACAATACCGAGTAAAGCGAGGAATGAAGGAAACGGGGGTGCTCCCTCGTTTTTCAGGCAAGGTAAACGCCTCTCCATATATCTAGACAAGTTGTAATCCCTCCCCATTGTCTAAAAAAACCAAACCAACGAATTACTGTCGAACGCTGGACGCATTTAGGCACAAGATGGCGAATGCGGCGTGAAAGAAATTTTATACAAATGGCTTTTGCTCCAGATGTGCGTCTTAGAAGGCATATCCACATCCTTCACTCGGATCGGAGAATACGTGCTTCTCCCTCTCAAGGTTCGTTTTTTTTCTTTCCGTGAATTGCCACTTGCAACCCTATCTGCACATTTGAAGACGCGGTAATGAGTCTGGGGAAGATCACTGAAGTGCTGGACACACCAGAGCAGATGTTTCCCTAATTGCTTTACGATCGCAGGTTTTGGCTGTATGAAAAGGCAGTTCACTGCAACTGCTGTGGAATGCAATTCACCCACCTCCTCTGGTACTGCGGGCGGGGCAAGGAGATCGAGGACGTGGACATGTGTGTGCAACTCTGCTACATGCAACTAGCCGAAACGACGACGACGCAACCTCTCTTCTTTTGTCGCTCTTTAAAGGCACCGGGAACATGACAAGTTTCTGGGGGTGCATCTCTCCTCCGGATGGTGCTGCCTGTAGAAACACCTGGGTACGTAAGCAGTTCACTCCTGCCAGGCCCTTGGGTACAAGCTGGAAAGTAAAGCTCTTGTTAGCTTACCGTCCGGGATTCGTCTGCGTGTGGCAGATTTCAGTGCGTTGCAGGCAACCTAAAGCAGTGTGAGGCTCGAGGGGCTTAGGTTTATGCAGAACAGTGCACGGCCGCTCATTGGGCACATGAGCAGCATGGAAGGCAGAGGGGACTGAAGAATAGAAAGGCTCTCGACGCTAGGTCGATTATGGATTGGGATTACATCAGTTTCTCGTGTTTGTTGTTGTCTTCAGTCATGTAACCTCTTCTTTGGACTTTGCCGGGGAGCGGTTGCCCTGCACTGCGCGTGGCCTGCCTGCGAGGCGCTGTTGGGTTTGCAGACTTTGAAATACGGCACTTCAACGCATGAAACAAACATTTATGCATGTGGTCCCCTAATTATTTCGTTTATGCCGCTTAGCTACTCTGTGCTGGGCAGGTGAGCATACATGCGTCGCTGGGTCCGCTTGCAGGCCCAATGGCCTGACCATCGGGGCTGCGAGCCGAGTTTTCCGTGCAGCCTACAGGGGAGGCTGAAACCCGCTGCTTCAACATTATGTCAAGCATTATAACTGCTATAAATACTCTTATTTGCCTTTGCAAGTACACAGGACGGCCAGAAATGCCATGCGTCTGCTGGGCTCCGAGAGCGGCTGATCGGGCGCGGAGTGCGCAGGCGCGTGTGCTTCGCCTTTGGGAGCAGGAAGAAGCTTATTATCGCATTTGAATAGTATGCTTCATACACAAACAATATTACAACTGGATGGTGGCCAACCCTATGGCTGCACTGTGGCGAAACTGTGCCTGTACACCACGATGCCTCTGCACGCCCACCTAAT